TCTCTCTCTCTCACTCTCTCTGAAATTTGTTGAATTAAAAATGTCCAAGTATTCCGGAACAGCTTAGAACAATCAGAGAATATTCGATATTCTTCGCTTTTGAAGGATTTCGTGGAATATTTCTTCTTCTTGATCTTCTGCTTCATTTGTCACGATTAAGAATAAAAATCATCGACTATTATAGTGCAATTTTTTAATCGTTCGAGAGTCAACACTTTCAACAGTTTATCATGTAAATAATGGACAAATAATTTACGAGAGGTCGATATTTTTGTGTGTGTGTATACGTAGTTTATAAATCGCGATGGCCATTCCGCTGCAGCAGAGAGGAGAGACAAACGTGGATGCAGAAGACGAGCTGGATCACGATAAAGAAGAACTTGCAGAAACGAAGCCACGTGTCAGAAGATATCTCACGAGACACATGAAATTATATCCGGAATTATACAGAAGCGATGTTTCAATACACCCAAGTTACACCACTCTTAAGATTCTGCCTTAGTAAGGATTACTTCATTCACGAAAAATGTATCACTTATCCTTTATTTTTACATTTATATTTTCTTTTTCGAATTGAATTCCTTCCTTATGCATCGCACAATTTAATAAAATTACCACGTGATAGTACGAATAATCGTCAATTGGTATCATTAGGTCGTAGCCACAAGAATTTATGTCAATTTAATCAAATTTCCAACATAGAAACTATTATAACAATGGTTCATTCAATCTCGTCTGAAATACGTTACGATAACGCATGCTGAATTCAAGAAAATATTAATTAATCCATTGGATTTATTCGTTAATAAGTAACTTTTCATTAACCTCGAGTTAACATCGTTGCAACTTAAAAACAAAACATGAAATTCGAGGCACTTAATTCTACATTCTTCGCGATTAACGATAAAATTAAATTAAACCAAAGACTTCAATGATACCAATCGATTATAATATCAATCGAGGGCTCGATATCTGAGAATAATATCGAGTTTCCCCTTGCCTCTCCTGTAACGCAATTCTGCAAATTTGATCTGTTTGAAAGTAACGTGGTCTGCCGGCGACGCCTGCAGAGGATCAGGAAGCAGATCAGGCGCCAGCTGAACCGCGACATCATGCACTTCGCGATGATGCGGATGTTCGCCATCGATAGCGTCAAGGTCGACCGCGTGTTCAGCGTCGGGATGCCACCGAAGACATTGATTGTCCCGGATTTGCTAACCGTGAACGAGAGACGTCACATCAACGAGCTTCTTCGTCACACGTAACGAACGACATTCCTGCATTGTGCTCGCCAACCATTTTCATTGTGCACCGATACCCATTGTACGTATATCGACGTAGCGTTGCGCCGCTATCGAATAAACCTGCGGTTTCTACATTGAGTAAAAATGGACGAGTCTATTTCCTTCCTTTAA